CGCATGGCTATGATTTCTTGGGACAATGGGCCGCGAGGCTCATCGTCGCTGGTACTGTTGGTCTAGGAGGGGAAACGTGTGATACGTTCGTAGGTAGGACGGTGGCTACGTCGCAGTGACGGGGTTTGTGCTCGCCCTCTAGATCTGGGCGGTAAGCATGGAGACTCCACCAGATGTTCTCTTCGGCTCATTTTGGGCTGCGGGGACAGATGGTTATTGGGAGAACGCTGGGCGCATTTGCAGACGACCACTGTCTCCAGTTCTGGCGGTGTTCGACAACTCCTCTCGCGCCGGGGAGGGGGACTCTGTTGCAGTCTTTCTTTCCTTAGTAGAGGGGATCTTGGACGACGGGACTCTTCCAATGCTTCAATTCTTGCACTCTGGTTGAAGATGAGGAGGTTGGTCTTATTGAGAACCTCGAGGAGGGACACCATAGTCTGGCGTTGGGCAGAACAGGGACCAGCAGGTGTTGCTGGTCAAGCAGGACTTCACCGTGATCTGCACGAACAGGGGATGGAGAAGCTGCGACTCCATCTCTTTGCCGGATAGCGTCGACGACATGAGAGGTGGAGGCCTCTTCAGCGTCAGTCTTGCTGACGGGGAGAAAAGCATAATTAGGAGCATCAAGATGGTTGTCAGGGCATCCATGATCAGAAAGTTGAAAAAGGGTTTTGGTCTTTGTGTCTACGAGAGGAGAAAAGACGGGGATGAAAGATTCCCACAGACGGCGCGACTGATCTTACTGAGCAATCAGAATCTGATATGGGCCAAAGACAAACGTATGTGATGTTGGATGTAAAAGAGGAGGAGGGGTGTACTTGCAAGACACTCCGATGCTAAAGTAAGAAAACGAGCAAGAGAGTGAGCAAGTACAAAATATGCGTTTTTAGGTAAGAAATTGAATACCTGACCCTCTCAAGTGAGAGGGTTTTTATAGTGCCCCTAGCGCTTGGCCATTGGTCCCTATTTTCGAGGCGAGATAACTGTTTCCCAAAAAATAGGTAACTGGCAGAAATAGACGTTGAGACTGGCAGACATGCCCATAGCTAGCCGTTGTGACAAGCAGAAGCAGAGTTACGGGCACAAACGTCTTGGTTATTTTTGGATGGTGGAACCGTGCGTGACGGACAGATATGGACGAGGAGAAGTGTTGTGACCAAGGGTAAATAGGTCAGTTTCCCCTATTGGAGGGAAAGAAAGGTAAACTCTCCCCATACGATGTTGGACTTAGGCAATTCTGGCCGTTCTGGGAGCAGAAGTGGATTGGGTTATGCCTATCCATTGGGCCAGTCCGGAACAAATATAAATTAATATGTATAAATATAAAGGAAAATACATAAATATATATTGTGCAGGTATGAGGCGGGGTGGGTACCAAGGTGCCCATACCCACACCCATACTCGCTTGTTTTTATGGATAATTACCCGAGCTCATGCTCATACCCTTTTTTGCGGGTTTCTACCTGTTGTGGATATATTTTCAAGTACCCATTAGAGACTGGTCAAATTGCCATCCCTAGATGGTCAAAAGATATTGTCTCTTTTTTACCGTTTGAATCTTCCTCTGCTGCCCCCACAAATTTGGCTTAAGCACAAACATCTTGGATATTTTATATTTTATATACTTAAGTATACGTTTTTGTTTTTGTTTTCGTACAACATTTTAGTGAGACTTTTAAGTGTGATGTTTGTTACTTAGCAAGACATAATCGTGTCTCTCTTTCTTTTGGTTTTAATCAAAGTCTTGAACAATTTAATGTTATTCATTATGATGTTTAATGACATGTCCATACCTCTATGATTTTTTATGCAAAATGGTTTGTCTCGTTTATTGATGATTGTACTCAAATAACTCGATTTTTTTTTATGTATACTAAATCAGAAGTACCACAATTATTTATCCAATTTTATAATACGGTATGAAGAAATTTTTGAAAAATAAAAAAATTAAATTTAACAATGATACATCAATCATGCATTTCCAACTAATAATAAACATGTCATTGTTAATAAATTCACATGTGCTGATACCCATATATAAATAGTGTTGCAGAAAGAAAAAACCGCTATTTATTTAAATTTGCTTGATTACTCTTACTTTAAATGTTTATTCTCAACTCTTATCGAGAATAAACAATTCTTATTCATACCTATATAATTATTCTGGTTCCGTCTATAATCTTAAATAATACTAATTTTCCTCACTGTTTTCATATTACAAAATCACGTGCATTTTTTTTAATTATTCACTTAACAAAAAATACAAATATTAACATTCTCCTTAAAAAAACAATAGGTTGCTTTTCCACTTAATTATTTTTAGGGGTGTGCATGGATTATAAATCAAACCAAACCAACCCAAACCACATATATGGTTTGGTTTGGATCTTAAAACCGTTTATATAAAACTGGTTTATTTTTTTAAAACCAGTTTACAAGTGAATTGGTTCAGTTTTAAATCGGTTTAAAAAAAAACAGTTTTTTTAAAAACCAGTTTTAAACCGGTTTCTCCCAAAACCAGTTTTTTATTTTTTTTAAAGAAATCAGTTTTAAAACCAATTTTATAAAAAAAACTAGTTTTAAAATCAATTTAAAAAAAATCAATTTTATTCCAAACTATCAAATAATTGATAAACCACCTGAAACATTTTAATTCTATACTTTGTATTAAGAAATGAAAATGTTCAAGCACGAGTATTTGGCAGTACAGAAAAATTGATTATTACATATATGGAAAATCCATATAGAAAATTAAACATGAATACAATCAAAGTAAATTAAAACCAATATGCTAGTCTAGAATTCCCAAATCCACCAAATTATTATTGCAAAGACAGGAACTGCAACACAGGAACTGCAACACAGATGCTGAGAGGCAACTGCAAGAGACATTTTTAACCCCTATATCCAAGTTGTACATGTGAATCCACCTCCCATCCTCTTCACACCAGTTGAATGAAAATTTCTACTCAATGTCACAACATAACAACAATGTCTTCCAATTAAAAAGTAGAAAACTATTCCAATTAAAAAGTAGAAAACTAAGGGTAATAAAGGGAAAAACTTAATCAATAATAGAACCAATCCATTTTTATGGTTATGGTTTATAAACCAAACCATTTGTTCTAAACGGGTTTAAAACCAGTTCTAAATGGATTTTGATTTTAACCCAAATTATTTAGTTAAATTTAAATTTAAATTTTTAAAATTATATCAATTTTTAAATTTAAATACTTAGATTTTAATATATTTTTTCTTTAAAAATAAATATAATTTTTTAAAAAAAATCTAAAAGTAAAAAATATTTAAAAAATTAAAAATTAATTTTAAAATAAAAAATTCTAAAATAAATTTTTTTAGCAAATTATATGGACTTAAAATGATAACTAATATTTATAATACATATATTTGTATATTTCAAAACCTGTATCTATTAGTGGAGAAATATATAATATTTATAATTATTTTTTCATAAAACTTTAATGAACTTCGAGATTTATAAATGAAAACTAGAGTCAAATCCAACGAGTCAAGTTTTGGTATATTTTCTTGTACATGCCAAATCAAACTCAATGCAATAAGATCTATATAATTAATTACTGAAAGTTCATATAATTAACTGATGAAAGTCCATATAATTTGTGAAGTATTAGTACACTATTTTAGGTAGTTAGAGAATTTGTAAATCATTTTTTTTTCATTTTGAAATACAAAATTTTAAATCTTTTGGTTTAAAATATAAAATTAGTTTATAACGTGTATATGATAAAACATGAAAAAAGACAAAAACATATTAATTTAACAAATAATGAAATTTGGATAACCAATGGATAAACCACATGGAAACCGATTTATATTTGAATAATAAAATGAATAACCAAATTTATATTTTAGCATTTGGTTTGCATTTTTAAAAGTGGAACAATTTGAATATAAATTTGATTAACAATAACCGATTTTTTTTTTTCACACCCCTAATTACTTTGACATTTAGTAATAGTAATTGTTTTTATACAATTTATTTAGTAATATTGCAATAACTTCACTTTTGTTCTAGCTAAAATTAAAATATTGTTATTATGTTAAATTAGTTTAATTGATAATTATGGAAGAACATTAATTATATAAGTGTAGGTTAGAATCTACTATATCTTATTTATATATTTAAAAGAAATGAATTATAGTCACTAAATTATTTTTAAAAAAAATTAAAATATTGTACCTACTAAATTAGTTTTAGATTTTTATGATAAAAAATATTTTTTAATGATATATTTACCTTAAAAATTAATTTTGATTTTGTGTATGCATTCAAATATGACACGTGAAAGTAAGTAATTTTTTTTTTGTAATAGTTTTACAATTAAATATCTAATAATACAAAAACAAATTATAATTATTCTATCATATACTAATATTTATGTGTTGAATTCATACTAACACGAAAATAAATCAATTATATAATAACTTTAAAAATTTAATAATAATGTAACTATCATCTAATAAAAATATATTATTTTATTATATTATATAAATAATTTAAAAAACTTTAATTTAATTTTAAAAACACATGACCATGTAAAATTAATTTACATTATCCGTGTATTATTTTTTTTCTCTAACTTTAAAATATAAATTTACCCTCACAGTCAATATTTCTTGATAATAAATAATGATAAAAACAAAAACTAGAAAGGACAGCATCTTACCAGGCATATTCCCTAGTGAAATAAGAACGGATAGAATCAAATAAGTGTTTGCCCAAAATTGATGTCATGAAGTAAAATAATATTTATTTTTGTTTTCTTTTATGTATATATATAATCTTATAACAATATAATACTAGTATTTGTTAGTTGAGTATATTATATAATAACTGATTTACACGTAAAATGCATGTTAGTGCAAAAAAAAAGAATAAAAAACTGAATTAGTTTTCTTCAGAACAAATATAAAATTCACATTTGACTCTGCAGCTAGTGACACAACTGACAAAAGCGATGCCGGAGGAAACGACGTCGATTGATTACGCCATGGAGGCGGCATCCGGGGCCCACTTCTCCGGCCTTCGTCTCGACGGCGGCCGACCATCATCTTCTTCACCAGCCTCTTCTCTCGCTCCCAATTCAACCCTAGCCACGGATTCTCTTCTCAATCAACCCTTCGTTATCGGTCACTCTCTTCTCTTTTTTCTCCCTCGCTCTCGCTCTCTTTGAATTTGAATGGAATAATGAGCAACGTGCGGTGATGGTGCAGGTGTTTCCGGTGGAACTGCTTCTGGAAAGACCACCGTTTGTGATATGATTATTCAACAGCTTCACGATCATCGCGTAGTTCTTGTTAATCAGGTAGCGTACTACATTCATTCTCTTCGTTCAACCATAGAATTTTTAAATTTATTTAAATTTTTTTAACTGTACAGGATTCGTTTTATCGTGGGTTGAAACCGGACGAGTTGGAACGCGTTCACGAGTACAATTTTGATCACCCTGGTAATTAGTTTAATTGATTAATCAATCATTTTAGGTTACAGTTTAGAGTAAATTAGAAACAGACTCACTAATAATTAAAAAAAGAAATAAAATTATTTGAGTGTGTCTTTTATTACCATAATCAATGCTTTAGTCAAATACAAGCTTTTATGTGAACTTATTCTAAATTGTAGATTAGTCCCCACTTTATTTCACCAAATGGATTTTCTATATTTGTGGGCCTCCAATCCGTAACATTTGGTCAATCAGATGCGATATTAGTTAGTTAGGTCTATGAAATTTCTAACTGACACGCTCAGAAATGTTTTTGTAATTCCAATAATTTTGGAACTATACTAACGCCGTCTCACGCATCTAGGGACCAAGATAACGGTTTACGCTAGGGTTTAAAGTACATACATTGTGGGTGTAAATTGATTTTTAGTCTATTAGTTTGCGACACCATCCTATTCTTATGTAAACTTGTTTTGAAATTTGATTGTATGAAGTAGCAAAGTAGTGATTTTTTATTGGATGGCGGTGGAAAACCAATGTACGGTAACAATCCTTTGAACGAGGCTCCTTTGTGTTTGTTTGTTTGTTGCAGATGCTTTTGACACAGAGCAACTGTTAGAGTGTATGAAGCAGCTCATCAGTGGCCAAAGAGTTAAAATTCCCATTTACGACTTCAAGAAGCACCAACGCTGTTCTGATAGTTTTCGTCAGGTATACAATGTGGATTATGTATCTCTGTCTTTATTAACTAAACAAGTATAAGTGTGTATATAAAAAGAAGTGTCTTTAGATGGTAAGACGGGACCTAAGTTTTAAATAAATGCTGCGGTAACATTTGTGTCATAATATAATACTTGATATTATGGAGAATCGTGGTCAAATGTGATTCAGTCTCATTCGCGGTCGTGTTAGTTTTCCATGGACAAAGCCAAGTTTCAGCATGAAAATAAAAAATCCTTCTCCTAATTGAAAGGGCTGATTAGAAATTCAAAAACATTGGTCTTTGTTTCCTTTTTAGAATTACTTCATCAGTATCTCACACACACAGAGGACAGAACTTAATTGGTTTTATGAATCATACACTTTGTAAGCATTTCATGTTGCACCTAATGAAATCTCTGTCCTATGAGCAATGAAACATATCATTTGGTTTCTGTTTGAGTCCTGGATACTTGATATGGCACAAATACTATATGACATGAGTATGGGGATACGGTAAGTTCTTAAAAATCGAAGATACGATACAACCTAGATACATTATCACAAATTTCTGATTCATGATAAATGTGAATATTTTACTTAAATGCATCACATTTGCAAAGATGCTTTGAAATTTTTAATTTACATATAGTTTTATATGTAGATATATGTAGATGATGACAACAATTTACCTAAAGATACTTGTGATTGTAACAAAAAAGAAAAGTCATGTGTATTTTATCGGTCTATACCAAAAATTTTTATTTTCCTTGTGAACATGCCACAGATGTATTTTCTCCCTAACCAATGTCGAGTTTTACAAAAAATATCACTAGACCTATTTAAAATAAGACTCGACTCTATTCAATTGCTTATTATATATGTCTAAAACTAATTGTATCATTTTCATCATTTTAAAAAGCATAGCTTCTAAGTTTAATTCAACTAGAGACAACTCCATCAATTCAAGAAGTTGGATGCCACGGTCATCAAATAGATCATGTACCTCTTTTCTAGTGTACCACAACCACGTCTATCCTTTGCTTATATGATATCATTAAAGAATTAATACCACACACAATAATAATGAAGAACAAAGTTGTAAAAAAAACTATAGATATTCCTAAAGTGTCAGAAACGGCCTCCCAAATGTATCGGTCAATATTTTTGTTAAAATGTTGATATTTTTTAAGGATATGTAGTATCTAGGGTATCATATCAGACTAATACGAGTATGACACTGATACTTCAGCAATTCTGGTGTAGATGGGCTTCATATGTGCCATTAACATTTTCCTTTTCTATTTGAAGGTTTTTCTGGTTATTTATGAATAGTAATTAACATTTGTAGTCTATGCTCAGGTCAATGCATCTGATGTCATTATATTGGAGGGAATTCTTGTATTCCATGATCAAGGTGTCCGTGATCTGATGAACATGAAGATCTTTGTTGACACAGGTTTGATACATTTTTATTTTTGTGGTAACCCCCTCCAGTGATGTGTCATGTCATGTGTAAATATTTTAATAAAGTTAGTTTTGACTGAGTGTAGAATAAGGCACCCTGGGTGTTGGATTAAGCTAGCTATAACTACCTAGATTCAGTTATGGTTGAATCAGTTATAATCATTGTAACAGATTTCACTGAGATGAATCACTTTTTCTGTGAATTTTCTCTCATCCCACTGAGTGAAATGATTACAAAATGATTACTAATTATTTGGAACCATTTTCTGTCTCTTTATTTCTCCTATTATTACATTTTTGTGTTGCATTCATGTAGGTACTTGGTGAAATTAAGTACTTGGAAACATATTTGAATGATTTGTTAAGAATGTGAAAATATAATCTCCTAGAAACATCAAATGCACAACAAAATTGATGTAGAACTGAAGCTGTGGATGAACCAAAGGGACACTAATTATTATCATAGTTTTCTAGAATATTTGAAAAATCAAACGAGTAGAGTAACTTGGATTATATTTTTCAACTGTATAGGATTTAAAATTTTCTAACCAGAACCAATAGGCGTTCCACTGTATATTATTAAGATCTATACTTCCTTCTCACGAGTAACTTTATTTTGTGAACTGCAACTTCCCTGATATATATGTTCCCTACATTAACCTTTCACCTCCTTTTCATTCTGTCATTTTGTGGTAAATTCTTTGATTAGCTACTGGTCCTTGATTGAATACCACTTCACAAGAGGTTGCTATTATTTTATTTTATGTAGTGTTGGAAGCTACCCCACCCTTCCTCTCTTTGTTTAATAATATATTTGGTTATTAATTGCATACAGATGCTGATGTGAGGCTTGCTCGTAGAATTAGACGTGACACAGTAGAAAGGGGCAGAGACATAAACTCCGTTCTTGAAATGGTAAGTCCAATAATTTAATCAGGAGTCGCAGTTTTACAACAGTTAGGCTAATATTTATAACTCTTCCATACAAAATTTATATTGTTTATTCCTTGTGAGATGTGATCAATCCCATTGCATGGTTAACTGCCTTAATGTTGGCTTTTGCAGTATGCAAAGTTTGTTAAGCCTGCTTTTGATGACTTCGTTCTCCCATCAAAGAAATATGCTGATGTGATCATTCCTCGTGGAGGTGATAATCATGTTGCCATTGATTTGATTGTGCAACACCTCCGTACAAAGCTTGGTCAACATGATCTATGCAAAATATATCCAAACGTGTATGTTATTCAATCTACATTCCAGGTATCTTCGAACATAATTTGTCAATTTCTTTTTCCATTTTAAATAATTGAAAATTTGTAGAAGATCCTGTGTTTTGCTTCTCACCCAAACATATTGGAATACCTTGGATTTTAACTTCAATTTAAGAACAGTACTTGTTCTGTTATGATTTATGACAAAAAAGAGTTGGTATTTTTTATAAGACACGCAGATTGGTTGGTTTTTATGGTTAAGGTTGTCAAGTCAGTTTAGTCTTTATTCCTAAATATTGAATGAACAGTCATACGTTATAGGTGCTTACAGAGAAGTGAGATGAAACAACTTCTGAGAGAGTTGAAGTGCATAGGCTAGTCTCAACTTATATAAAAAGATTATTCGTTAAAAGAATCATAGGATCTATTTGGATTTTTTTATTTGAGCTAATCTATTGGCATAAACACTTATGACAAACTTATTTCCTAAGTTGTTTTCAACTTATTTCTATAAGCTCTCCAGGACAACTTGTAAAAGCAGCTTATGGATTATGCAAAAACAGTTTGACTATATTGTAAAATAAACAGTTTGACTTTATTTTATCTTGTGTCATAGAAATAGTTTTGTCATAAGCGCTTATATGATAAGCGCTTATACTATAAACATTTTAAATTTTCTTTTCCTATAAGTTCTATTGGAAAGGTTTATCCAATTTGACTCTTCATGTTTATTTTGGACATACAATCAAGATTTTTATTGGTTATGGTTATATACTTCAGATAAGGGGGATGCATACATTGATTCGTGACACAGAAATATCAAAGCATGATTTTGTATTTTATTCTGACCGACTTATACGCCTGGTACTGTATACTTTATCGCTGTGATGAACATTTTTACTTAATGGGGTTTTAGTGCTTGCAAATATAATATAGCGTTACCTTTGCTGGTTTTGGTCATCAGGTTGTTGAGCATGGTCTAGGTCATCTTCCTTTTACCGAAAAGCAAGTTGTTACTCCAACAGGCAGTCATCTCTCCTTGTACTCAGTTCTTGCAGTTTTTCGCTTTTTATGTTTATATCATTCTCTCTTGTGTGGGGAACAATATTTGTGCTTTGTGAACTGGAATGTGTATAACTAAGGAGCAATAGAACACAAAGTGATTCATGTTGACACCATTAATTAACTGAAATGAGGCTTATATTACAGGATCTGTCTATACTGGTGTTGATTTCTGCAAGAAATTATGTGGTGTTTCAATTATTCGAAGGTGAGCTAAACTTTGAACTAGGTATTAATTTCCGCTGGTCCAGTCCAAATGATAGGTTGCTCCCATAAATGCAACGGTGCAATTAATAAAATTAGTTCCTTTGTTGCACTCTCAGATGCTTGCTTTGGATGTGCATACCATTTAGAATATTGAATCCTTGTGCTAAAACTTATTCACTTTTGCATTCTATCTTAGGCTGTTTCCAGTTGGCTGAAATTTTTTCGTTGTCCGTTTATTACAGTGGTGAAAGCATGGAAAATGCACTTCGTGCATGTTGTAAAGGCATTAAAATTGGAAAAATTCTGATTCACCGGGATGGAGACAATGGAAAACAGGTAGGTAAATTATTTGGAATCCTTGAAGTTGACTAGGGCAGCTCTCATCTATACGTTTGCTATGGTAGTTGTAGTTTGTGTTTAATGGTAATACTTCTTTGAGCAGCTTATCTATGAGAAGCTTCCCAAGGATATCTCAGAACGGCATGTCTTGCTTCTTGATCCTGTCCTTGCTACAGGTGAAATGTCCTTCCACTATTAATTGTTCCACTTAATCTTACTGTCATATTATGAAAGGCTTTATTTGCTTAACTCTTGATAGAAGTGGTAATCATTGAGATAAGAAGAGAGTAGAGGGAGAGTTGGCAGAATTTTAGAAATTTCCAATATGATCAATCCAGTTACAGTAGGAGTATTTATAGAGCAGTCTTAAGTAACTAACTCTCAACAGAATTCAGTTAGGTGTAACTTGTAACCAATCTCTAACTGAATTCTGTACGGAACAATCCAATAGAAAGGGAAAGGGAATTGGGACAAGGTCCAATTCCTAATACAAGTGAAAGCCCAATCCTATATTCCTAAGCATCGGAAGTGGATCTCCTGTCATCTGGGTCAGAAGCCCAGTCAGCATCACAAAAATCCTGTGAAGGTGATAGGTAATAAAAGATTAGCTGGTGCAAATAGAAGGCCATGATTGGTTGTGCCTTGAAGATACCTTAGTATCCTTTTAACAGCTTTCCAATGTTCTTCTAGGGGATTAGAAAGAAGTTTGCAGACTGAAATTAGTGGGATCAGTAACCTGTGCAGAATATACTTTTGACAATTTTGTGCTTGAGGCCATATGTGATGCAATACACTTGGCAGTGGCCACGTTGGCCTTGTTTAGGAGATCCCTAATGTACTTGCTCTGAGATAGCAGCAATGACCCATTGGAGAGATGATGAACTTCAATGCCAAGAAAGTAGTCCAGCTGACCGAGGTCCTTGAGTGAAAAAGAGAGACTTAATTTGGTGATAACTTGCTGAATGAATGCTTTGGATGTGCTAGTGATGATTATATCATCGACATAGACAAGCACAAGGGTATACTGAGATGGAGTGTGAAGCATAAAGAGAGAAGGGTCACACTTGCTGGTTGTGAGTTTTAGAAACAGAAGAGAACCTTTGAGTCTATCAAACCAGACTCTTGGGGCTTGTTTGAGGCCATATAGGGCTTTATTGAGCTTGCAAACTAGGTCAGGACCTGGTTTTTAAAAACCAGGGGGCTGGCTGAACCATGTACACTTCCTCATTTAGAAATTCGTTTAGAAATGCCTTGTTTACATCAAGTTGCTGTATTGGCCAGTTTTGAGAAATGGCTAAAGTAAGCACTGTTCTGACAGTATCAGGTTTGACTACTGGAGAGAAAGTCTCTGTGTGGTCAAAACCTTCAATTTGATGAGACCCCTTGGCCACCAACCTGGCCTTGTACTTATTAATTGTTCCATCGGGATTCTCCTTAACTCTGAACACCCATTTGCAGCCAATGGGTCGTCTATGTGAAGGAGTAGGAGCAATGTCCACGTGTTGTTCTCCATGAGAGCATCATATTCTGATTGCGTGGCAGCATGCCTCTAAGGGATTATTAGGGCTTGTTTGTGTGAAGTTGGTTCAAGGTGAGTTAGGAGGTGTGGGGTGATGTCGGGTTTGCATAGAGTGAGAGTTTTGAGGATGAATTCTTGGGGCAGGTATGAGTGATTTTGTTGTAGTGGCAGTAGAGGGTGAGGTGATGTCAGCAGGAGGTGGAATGACAGATGTTGAATGAGAGATGGAATTGGATGTTGTAGTGGGGCTAGGTGTAGTGTGTGAATTGGTGGCATTTTGAGGCGTGGTGTATGTGTTCGTATGTTGACTCAGTATGGTGTGTGAGGTATTGGAGTTATCATTTGGAGATGTTAGATTATGGCTTTTGTGTTGGCTGGATGTGGATACAAATATAAGTGAATTGGTTAAGTTACTGAAGTTAAGTATAGTGTTATGATTGGGTATAGTATGAGTTGAGTTAAATTGGGTGGGGCATTGGGAGTAAATTGGGAAGCAGATAATACATCAGTCCTAGGTGATATGGATTCTGATACAGGTTGACTCTGACAGAGGGAGGGGCAGGGAACAATTCAGGATAGGGAAAAAACAACTTCCATTGAATATATAACATCTTTAGAGATGAAAACTCTGCCACTAGAATCTTAGGCATTTGTAGCCTTTGGGGATAGGTGAGTAACCAAGGAGTATACATTCCTTAGAGTGCATTGCTGGTTTATGAGAGTTATAAGGTCTTAGGTAGACAGCAAACATAACCAAAGGCTTTAAGAAATTTATAGTCAGAAATTGAAAATTCTAAAGGAAGAAAGGAGAGGAGTTGGCTAGTGAGGGAGAGGATAGTCTGTCTATTGTTAAGTTAGTAGCCAGCCAGCCGTCAGGATAAAGCAACAACTTACCTTTTTGTTGTTTGCTTTAAAAGGACAACATTTTAATTATATAAAATACTATTTTCTAGTCAGTTGGTTATGTGAGAGGAGATGGTAAAAATATAATTCGATTTATTTGTCAATTGTATTAGCTAGATAGATACCACATAATCAGGTAAAAGCTGAAAGCATGGACTGATGATTTGTTTGAATCATGCTCAACCTATGGTTTACTGAATCTTTTTTTTTTCCTGCACTTTTGATGAATGAGTAATTATAATTAATATCAATAATTTTACTGCAGGTAACTCAGCCAACCAAGCAATTGAATTACTCATTCAAAAAGGAGTGCCAGAATCCCACATTATATTCCTGAATCTCATTTCTGTGAGTTTATTTTGATGCTTTTCTTTACAAATACAATCATGGTTATTTGATTAGAAGCACTGATTGTGTGAATCTTTGTGATTTCAGGCTCCTGAGGGAATCCACTGTGTATGCAAAAGGTTCCCATCATTGAAAATTGTCACATCTGAGATTGATGTTGCATTAAATGAAGAGTTTCGTGTTATTCCAGGATTGGGTGAATTTGGTGATCGCTACTTTGGCACAGATGATTGATCCTCGAATGGTGGATACATCTTTTAGTCAACAAATGTCTTGGCTGCATTGTATTGAAATATTTAAGATTTAGCAAATGGCTGCCATGTGATTTGAGGCAAGCTGATTAGAATAATATGAATGCAAACTCATTCTTTGGCTGGTATGCATGATTAGTTTTCAGCTTATTGAATGTAGAGATAAATTCTAGCTAGATTATGATGATGCTATCATACAAAGTTCTGAGTAGACAATTCTATCTAGTTCAGCCAACCTTATTTGGAAAAATATTGAATAGGCGCCAAACTCAAACTATATGCAAACTTGTTATTATATTCCACTAATTTTATCATATATATGGATATTACTTTTAAAATACAATTAGTTTATATTTTATTTGCCAGTAGTACTTTTGTTCCGACGAAATTAGGAAGGTACTTGTCCACTCACATCACTCACTTCTATTTTTATGCATATTTGAAACAAACTTGAATATAATTTAAAGAAAAAAGAGAGAAGTACTACAGTGAAACCAATTCAACATCTAACCAACACTTAATCAGCAGTAACAATGACAGTAACAGTAAGTACCTCATTTGCTTGGATAAACCTTTGGTCTCGTGGCTGAAATAATAATGAAAAGCTACCCTACCTCAATCCAACAACAAAAATGTCACAATCAAGAAAAATAAATAGGATTATAAAAGAGCTTGAAAACATAGCTGGCATGGAAATTATTGTTGAATGAATATGGATTTTAGGAATGTCTATTCCGAAAACATAGGAGTTTAAGGTTAGCAATGAAAGAAGATTAGAGAATATGCATCCTATATATTCCTAATACACCTTAAAATGATTTTAAATTCCGGAGATGTATTGCCGGATGCACTCAACCACACACAATATATGCAGATTTTAAGTGACATTCTAAGAATTATTTTTCTTTTTAAACTCGAAGATGCATCTCTAAAATATGTTTGTAAAGGTATTTCTGTAACATATGTGCAACAGGTAAAGAATCATAAAATTAAAAAGTTATATTTTGACAAAATCAAATCACCATTCATAACATAAAATCAACATTACATAAAATGTCAACATAAAATAAAAGTTTACATTTCAATATCCACGTGGACGCTTCAACATCTTCACATTATCTTCGACCGATTTTAAAATCGTTGCTTCCAACTCGAGTGGAACTTTTGTTTCGAAACAGAAAAATGTATTCCACATAACCCTTACATCTGCATATGTCTCGCGTTCATAGGTGTTGAACTCAATATTGCCTTCGTTGTTAATTGACAGTGAACGGTACTCAAGCTTCACAATTTTTTGATTATTTTCGTAAAGTATGAGTTGTATTTCAGATATGCAAAAGAGGTGTACGCATTGAGCTTAAACTTTCGCTCGAGTGTCGCGCTGGAGAATAAGACATTTGTGACATACTAGATGATATTTATTTGTGACATTTAAGACATTTTCTATTTGTGTGAAATAAAAAAAAAAGAGTCCTTTAATTTATAGAAGTTGTAGACAAAGTTGGACCTTAAAAATTCTATCATGTATCAGTGCTGGTTTCAGAGATATATTTTTGGTACCACCCTATTATCTTATTCAGGTGATACATCTCCGAAACCTATCTTGAACCATACAAAAAACAGAACCTATGTGTTTTGTTTGGCAAATGGACAACTTTTTTGACAAACATCAAAATGTATTAAAATATTTGAAATTGTGTATATTACACTTCATTAATATTAATGCACAATTACATACACTTATTTGATGAGGAAAAACTAAAACGAATCAAAAGATTTGTTGTCAGCTAAATCTATAAGTATGGATGGTACCCCTTTGACTTTTGTGCATTAGATTCTCTTTAAATGTTGCTTAACTTCTCAAACTCTTGCATCCTTTTCACAAAATGGTTCGACCAAGTCTCGGCTTTTTTTGTTGAATGAGTCGTCCACTCCACTTATATAAATGGAATAGGGCATTCTGGTTTCAAATAAACTTGAACAAAGTGACATGATTTTGAAAACTACTCAATACTCATAATACGATCATTTGAATTTTGAGGTGGGGCGATGCACAGTGGAAAAAAGATTTTCAAAAAACTACATATTGTAAGATCAATACACACTTTATCATATGCACTTGCTATGAGATGTCCTGTTTCAGGGAAGTGCGCCCATTTTGCCACAGGTGTCGGTCCAGTAATGCAAGGAACAATATACTTATAAATTGTATCAAAGTTTTCTTTCTTTCCGTAAAATCTGTGTGTATGATTCTTTATGGATCCTCAACCCATAGATACGTTGATGGCGGATGTAATACCCTGTATTGTCTAAAGTACTCTTGATAATATTAGTTGAGAGCAGATGAGTTCCTATGTGCTTTGAGAGTTATTAGTTGGTATACTTAGAGTAATTAGTGAGCTCAGATTGATTTAATTAATGTTATTCAACTCTGATATTTTATTAATTGGTATAATTGAGACATTTTGATAACAACATTGAAAATTTTATCAATTAATACTCTTTTATACCACTCATATCAATTTAGTCTTACTAACTTCTAATAATACTCTTATGTATTATTTTTCTTTCATTTCCTTTTCTTTTCCAACAAAAGTGGGAGACTTGAGAGAAAGAGAAAGATAGTAAGAGAAATGGAGAGAAAGAAGGAAGAAAACCTAGAAGAAAGAGAAACTCATCATTCTTCATAAACATCATCTCATCTTCATCAATCACAACTTCTTCATCTTGAGGTGAGTTTTAGATAGATGCTCTAGGTTAGGATTTTTAGATAGATTGATGAATATTGGGATTTTGATATGTATTGATTCCATTGCCATGAAAATGTTGTGATTCTTGTTGTGTTCATGTTGTTCATGATGAAATTGTTTCTATGTGTTGATTTTGAGTTGTGGTTGAACTTGTGTAGGGAATGGGGTCGGAAACCCCTTGTTACTGTCTGATTCTAGAAGTCAGTATGCAGAAATTGACGCACTCGTACAATAAGCTTCCAACAAACTGAAAACGACCGAGTTTCTGCTACAACCGTTGTGCGAGGTCCATGGAAAGCGAGATCTCGCCTTGCGGTCGCACAACGACCATGGTGACATTTTGCTACTGTCTGTCCCTCGTCTTGAGTTCACAGTGCAAACTGAAAGCGAGCTAGCTCACCTTCCGGTCGCTAGGCGGCGCTGACAAGACTTTGACAATTTCTCTTGTTCTTTATTTGGTTCCTTTGTATACTTGTTTAGTTATACCCTAAATCACATAATATGGATTATTGTGGTTTTTATGCATGTTTTCTATCTATGATTAATTGACTATGAATGTGTGATAACATGATTAAAAATAAGTAAGAATGGTTTGGAAACCTTAATGGAAATTAATTATATGACTTAGTAAGATGACTAGGAATCAATAGATGACATAGATGACAATACTTGTGCAATTGATGCATAGGTGGGTATGTTTGACAAGTAATTGTCTAGTGGTAAGGTGAGGCATTATATGGAACATGTATGGTATTTTTGTGTTGATTGTGATTAATGTGAATGTGTTCACCTTATGATTGTCGAATATGATCATGCCTTGTGTATTTGATCACGCAGTCGAAAATCACCTTTGAGATATGTCGTCCCAATAGTTGATGCTTATGTAGAGCTCATTTGGGATGCATGCAATATTACTTTGACAAGTTTGAGTCTCATGTGTACGAATGGAGCCTACGCGTAAAAGGCCTGGGATGGGCAGAGGTCCCATGGGAAGCGACGATTTATATGGAAAGCATCTTGAATCCGAATCCATTTTGTATGTCAAAGTATAATACAATAATTAGTGACTCGTGCCGATAGTCTTAGACGTATGAGAGGACAAGGATGTTTGTTTTGGTATGGTTTCTGATTAGTGATGGTTTGAGTTGATGAATTCAAACAACATGTTTCCATATAGTATAAATATTGTGAATTCAAGTATCCTCCCTTTTTCCCTTTGGGACTTGGATTACTAGATGGTTAGAACCTCGTGGAGCCGAGAGAAACCATAAGATAGGGAATCCACTGGGATTATCATCTCACCCCATGTTGTTGATTATTTTTCAGGTAGTTCCGATATGGTGAAGGGTAAGGACAAGGTAGCTTGATTGTCCTCACTTATCTCACTTTTTGGATGGCTTTTCCGTTGCGAAGACTTTTGTTTTGAAATCATTATTTAATGATCTAGTTCTTAGTTTTGTTTTTGAGCATCTCGTATATATTATGCCACTTTTAGTTGTGTTGTTTTGTCATGTACTATGTACGCAGTGTTACTAGGAACTTGTATATTTCAGTACCAAATTTGAAACCATGTATGATATGAAAATTCTAGACATATATTATATGTGGTTGTTATAGTCGGTATCATAGCAGGTCATATCCTCGACCTAGCCATGAAATATTATAAGTATTTCTTTCTGTTTCATATGTGTGTTGTCATCATTGTCCTGGATATTATACTAATAGTATTTACTCTGATCAACTTGATTATATTTGTATGATGTTTATGATCATGGTTGACAGACGCAAAAGTCGTGCTAGACCCAAAACTTAGACTTTCGATTCGAATCCTCCAGGTGGTAGTGAAAGTGTTCAGTGGCCTCAATTTGTGAAACAGATGCAACAACAACATAACCAATTCATGCAGCAGATGATGCAGCAGTTGAATGGAGGTATTCACCCTCAAGTGACTCCACCAGAAGTTGCAGGTGGGAGTTTTTAGGATTTCTTCCACGTGAATCCTCCAGAATTCCATGGCGGGCTAGATCTTATGAAGGCTCGTGAATGGGTGTCTGGCATGGAAAGAATCTTTCTGATAGTACCTTGCATTAAGGAGAACAAGGTGGTATTTGCTTCCCACATGATGAGAGGTCCTACTATGAGATGGCTGGAAAGTGCTTCAACTCTGATGACTAACCAAGGAATTCCTAGGGTGTGGGAACATTTTAAGACTACCTTTCAAGACAAGTATTTT